GATGGTTCAAATAGTAGGAAGTTTGATAGGCAGATATTCAATTCAGGTCAATCTATGATACAAAGTTATATATTTGGGATGAGTACTGTATGAAACAATAAAGAATGTGGTTGAAGAAACATTTCAACAACAAAAAGAAAAAGCAGCATAAGGCTGAGAGCACACAGCTACACTCTCCAATACATGCCATTTGTCAGATGTGGCTGTTTAGCACTTGAAATGTGGTTAATACTAATGGAGATGTGCTATCACTGTAACATAATATGCAGATTTCAAAGACTTAGTGCAAAAAAAAGAATGGAAAATCTCTCATTAATAATAATATTGATTACATGTTAAAATGATAATATTTTGGATCTATTGGTTTAAAAGAAATAGAATTAAATTTTATTTATAAAATGAATTATAAATAAAAATTTGATTTCATCTGTCCTTTATGCTTTAAAAAATGTGGCTGTAAGAAATTTTAAATTGTATATGTAGTTCACATTACATTTCTATTGAACAGCACTGGTACAGAGAAAAGAGTAAAGGTAATTATCCCCAAAGAAATCTGGTTATTTGTAGAAAATTTTAAATAATTCTGCATTTATAAGATTTTTCTAAATATACAGAGAAAATGAGAGAATATAGATTGTGTGAAAGATATCAGATTGTGCCACAGCACTTACCAAGTTTAAGGATAATTTGGAGACTGAACAGCAGAAAAATTATTATTGAGTAATAATCTGTTATTGTATTAGTGTGCAATGCAATTTATGAATAATAGCGGATTTATTCCAGATTAGCACAAAGCAAGATTGTTCATTCCTATGAATTTACTGTAAAATTTATTATGTAGCTTGTATAAAATTTACTATATTTATATTAAATTACTATTAATTACTATATATTGATGTTAAGAAAAATGTCCTTTGAAACATAATTAAAAGGAAAGAGACCTAGTAGAGTTTGCAGCCAAGCTGGCAGTGTCTCAAAGTAAAACATCTGACATGAAGTAAATACTCAATAAATAATTAAGAATTGTTAGTAATAACTTTATCATATTCCTCAGTAACTAAGCAACATTCTCTGGACGCCTAGATTTATCCACTAATTCATTTATTTACGCAGCAAATTTTTGATGTTGATGGTGATTAGGAAAATGATGAAACACAGATACTATGATATTAAAAGCCATTTACCCATTTTTCAGCAGTGCTGGGGAGATTTGAGGTAATTTAACTGTAATTTAACCAAATAAAAATTCAGGAAAGAAACAGGAGCATATATCAAAATAGCCAGTGTTACCTTTTTACATACTCTAATCATCATTTATTTACCTACATAAATTGATGAAACTATTAATATATCTAAAACTAGATTCAACTGGAATTTTCGGTAAGCATTCTGTGTGTGTTTAAAAAGAAAATCTCTATTTGAATATACCTCCTACAGGAATTCAAATGCAAAATGAGCTGTAGAGCATACCATACATAAACTCTGCACATTAAGTAAGCAGTTAAGCAGTTAAACCTACTTGGAGGAATGGATGGTATAAATTTCCTTCTATTCAGTCATAGAACCCTTCCTCTCCATTCTCACAAGCTTTGACCTTGGCCACCAATTAAGTTCTGATCCTGCCACTCCAGGACCTGGATGTCCTTAAAGACAACCTCCTGAACTTTTGGCTTTTGGTATTAACTTCTCTTTAAACGTAAGTGATCTTTCCTTTGAGCATTTTGGATTGGGATGGGTGTACGCTGGATTAGCTTATTACGGCCTCTTTTCAAAAACCTTAATATTTCAGTCATTTATGACAGATAGAACTTTGCCATTTCTCTCTGTGCCTCTTTGTCATAGCCATACTGTGTTTGAAGGCGGGTGTAATAAAGTGGAGCTGAAATGGGGATTCATTGACACCAACCCTGAAGAGAACATGTTCTACTCTAGTAGGTAATCTGAAAAACAAACATCATTTCTCATAGATATCATAAACACTGCCAACCTTGCTTTATGAGTAAACAAAATTTTTAAATGTAATTTAAAGTGCCTTTTCTAAAGCCAAAGTGTGCTAATCTATCATTTTACACACACACACACACACACACACACACACACACACAC